TTTGACTTCTGGTTCCGGCGAACGAATAATCATTGAGTCCTCCTCTTTCCGGACAACACATACAAAGAAACCCGCCAACAGTCACTCAAGTAATTAGTGAACCGATGATAGATACTTAGAATTTTTTTATTTCTCTTCTATCTGCCATCTATTCATCTATTTTCTTTAGTTATTCACTAGAGCAATTATGATCTGGAAGTCGATCTGGGGCAAGTGTTCGGATCTATTATGACATATCCATAGGGTGCTCAACGGACCCTTTTTTATAATTAAAAAAAGTTTTCGCGCCTTTACATTGGTACCCAAAGAGCTTTTTTTATAACCTAATCGAGTGTATTCATATTTCAATTATTAAGTTCCGAAATGTAGCCTATTTTTTTTTTAGAGAATATTATTCTTTTTCAATAAACGCCTATTAGTCATTACTAAGAAACAGTCTAGTATTGATTATGGATATTTAGTCATTTTCAAATATCTTTTATTGGTTTTAATAGTCGAAAAGAAAAAATAGAAAAAACTCAATATATAGATATTCTCATATTCATGTACTACTTACCCCTAGAGACTACCAGATGAAATAGAACGATTTGAGAAAAGGATATAATGAAATTTTTTTTCTTTGATTGGTTCTTCTGATAGAAAAAAGGATCCGTTTTATTTGACCGAGAGGGCCAAGAAATAAAAAAACGATTAATTATAAAAACAAATATCAAATATATAGAAAAAAAAAAAAAGAAACAAAGGGAAAGTTCTTATTCGAAGCGCCTCGTGATCGTCAACCAATTCTGTGCTTCAATATAATTACCAGGAGTAAGCGTTATAGCCTGTTTCCAATACTCAGCGGCTTGAGCGAACCAAGCCTCCGCCATTTCAGAATCTCCTTGTTGAATGGCCTGTTCTCCGCGGTCGGAATAGGCGGGTCAAGTCCCTCCCTGAGAACCGTACTTGAGAGTTTCCTACCTCATACGGCTCGACAACCAACTCTTTTGTTTTGGTGTACCAGTTTTTTAACTTTAACCTACTTTGAACTTTATATCTAATTGAATGTCTAATTGAATGAGATTTCTTATAGATATTTTGTTTTTCTTGGATTAAACAAAAGAGAGTAATTACATGAGTTTCAAACTTTCATTTTGATTTAATTAATATATTAATTAATATAATAAGTTTTATCTTTTCTCCTACCTTCAGAAAAAAAGGCATGTCCACTGTTATTAGATATTAGAATTTTCTGAAAGGTAACTATCCCGCTTTCATATAAAAATTTATATAGAATCTTTGAAAAAGACTTTTTCATACTTCATAAAAAAGAAAAAGACTTACTGTCTTTAGGATCTGATGCTACACCGCTGCTCAATACCTTAGGGGATTACTCTATTACATAAGTAGATTTCTAAGATTTATCTCATATCTCATATTATGATATAAATAAACAGCTCTTGTTGTATCGGTCCAAAACCTTTCCAATTGATCTTTACGGTGCTTCCTCTATCAATTAAATCTTTTTTTATCCATAGAGAAGTATTTAGGCATATCTAGTCTTCACTTCATATTTCGATCGATGAAGTTTATTTATTTGCTACAGCTGATAAAAAATCGTTTTGGACGATGCTTATGTAGAAAGCCCTTTTTTTGTGTTTCTAGTATTTCATTGACTAGCTGTTCTTTTTTTCTATAGTGGAGATAGTCGCACGTAATGACAGATCACAGCCATATTATTAAAAGCTTGTGGTAAAAAGGGGTTTCGTTCTAATGCCCGAAAATAATATTCTAAAGCTTTGGTATGTTCCCCATTACTTGTATGGATAAGGCCTATATTATAGAGTATATAACTTCGATCATAGGGGTCAATTTCTAGTCGCATAGCTTCATAATAATTCTGTAATGCTTCCGCATAATTTCCTTCAGATTGAGCCGACATCCGTTACGGTCGTCATTCGCTTTAACGAATTCTCCGTTTCAGAACCGTATGTGAGATTTTCATCTCATACGGCTCCTCCTTTAGGTGCATAATGAAAATAATATATGTAAAAATGTGATGTCATTATGAACTAAGCGGGGCTAATGTTTTTACAAGAAATCCCTAGCCAACCTTCTTGCAAAAGCTCTTTTCTTACTACCAAGTGGGTTCATGCTAGATAAAAATAAAAAAGGAAACTCTAAAAATTTCTTTGTTCTCAACGCCCCTAAATTTCCAGGAATTAGTCACTTCAACAGTCTTCAATGGTTATACGGGTATCCAAAGTACGAACGAGATGGATGTTTATTGTTCCAACCATGTTAATTAGTCCCAATCCCAACGAAGAAGAAGAAAGAAAGGGAATCATTTTTAAGAAAGTTTTTGTGTTGTTGATTTCTCGGCGTAGTGCTTCTTCCCCTATGCCTCCTATTCGTATATTGTATTAGTGTAGTAGGATTGATCTGTAATACGGGAACCATAGGTAAAAACCTTTTGCTCAATACTATAATTCACAATTGAAGCATCTAAGGCTGCATTAATCGTGGATACATGACAGAAGGGATTGTTTTTTTATATTATAAACTTCACCTTCAAAAGCGTAGATTTTTTTTCAATACTCGTTTTTCTTTCTATTCCAATCCAAATCGACGAGAAAAAAAAAAATGATAATCAAATCACACCATCTCTGTAATAAGTAAATGCCTCTTTTTCTCCGGAAGTTGTCGGAATGACTCGTAATAAGATATCGGCTACAATTGTAAAGGTTTTATCAATAAAATTTCCATTTATACGCGATCTTGGCATAGGTAGTAATCCACTCTCTAACTCTTTTTATTTCCTTTACCTTTTCTTTTGTGAGAAAATTTTCTCACAAACAAAGGAATTGTATAGTACGAACTAACATAAAAGCGGACTCATTAAAAAAAACCTTCTATCTACTTACAATTTTTCCGGTCAAAAAGGTATCTATTAAGCATAATCTAAAAAACGATGAATAACTCGCTATTCACCCAGATACTCAGTCATAATCCTGATGTCGGAGAGATGGCCGAGTGGTTGAAGGCGTAACATTGGAACTGTTATGTAGACTTTTGTTTACCGAGGGTTCGAATCCCTCTCTTTCCGTACTTTCAACTAATTCACCAATCTTACGTGATTGACCCCAATGTATCAAATCCAATAAAAAAGAATAGATATAAAATCTACCTTGTTTTGATTTTGAAATAGATTCTCTATTCCCAATTTCTTTCATATGAAAAATGCTGGGAAGAGCAAACAAGGGATCCAAATCTCCCTACCAATCTATGATACATGAATAGGAAAAAGATTCCTCGACAAAATCCCTTACCTTGTGCCTTTTTATTTTTAATGGCAAAGGGGAGTTGTCCGAACTCTTGTTTTTAGTAATTTTTTTTACTTAAGTTAGGTTTATTAAGTCTGTCGAGAGTAATATTCTACGACAAGCAATTCATTTATTTTCAAACCGACGCATTTCCTATCTATTATTTGATTGACTAACCCTTCATATTGGAATGTGTGAAGAGTCAGATGGTTTGGCAATTCCTCAGGGGCAGATGAATCAAGAAGATTTTGAACCAAAGTTCTAGAGTTTTGTTCATCCTTCACTGTAATAATATCTCGGGGTTTGCAGCGATAACTTGGTATATCAACTATACGACCATTAACTAAAATATGTCCATGATTAACTAATTGGCGCGCTTGAGGAATAGTCAAAGCCATACCCAATCGAAAAAGGATGTTATCCAAACGCATTTCAAGTAATTGTAGTAAAACTTGACCTGTTGACCCCTTGGCTTTTCCGGCGATACGCACATATTTAAGTAATTGGCGTTCTGTAAGACCATAATGAAAACGCAATTTTTGTTTTTCTTCTAAACGAATACGATATTGAGATTTTTTTACGGAGCGTGATTGGTTTCTAAGATCGCTTCCTGCCTTAGGCCTTTTACTAGTTAGTCCCGGTAAAGCCCCCAGACGGCGTATTTTTTTAAAACGAGGCCCTCGGTAACGTGACATAAAGACTCCTTTTTTTTATTGAAATTGTACAAAACTAAATAAAATTAAAACTGAACTAAATGATAATGATAAATGACGTGAAATACACTCCAATAAACTATTGGAATACAAAGAGTAAGAAGATATATTCTCTCAATATACAGATTTTTTTTATTGTATATACAATATATATAAATCAAATAAATCACAAAAATTTTCCTTTATTTTCTTTATTTATTTTGCAAAGATCGAACTCTTTTAGCCAATATATATTCCTATATGGAAGTTTATATGACATAATATAAATGGAGTGGTAACTCTTGGAAAAAGGTCAAAGAAGTCTTTTCAATCTTCTTTGATTTTGAAAGTACATTAAAAATCATGTAAAAAAACGAAAAAATATGGAAAAGCCGGCTATCGGAATCGAACCGATGACCATCGCATTACAAATGCGATGCTCTAACCTCTGAGCTAAGCGGGCTCAAATAAAATAGCGCATGCATACAAATTCACTAAACTACTAGATCGTATCAATTAACTATTCTATTAATATTTTTCCTTATCTATTTAGAATTAATCATATTCTATATATTCTAGAACAGAATATAGCTCAAATAAATAGTGACTATCATTAAATAAATAAAACATAACCTTAATTAATAGAATATAGCAGTATATTGACTTTCGAATTTTGATTTCATTAGTTTCTAAATAAGAAAATCTTAATTAGATCAGAAATCTTTTTTTTTTTTTTCTATCTATTTTTTTCTATCTATCTATTCTATATAGTATAGAATAGTATAGAATTATTAGAATTTCAAATTTACGAAGTAGACTTAGAATTTTTTCCATTGCACATTGTAGAATTCTAAGTTTCAATAATAATAATAAATTTCTTTTCATGAAAGTAAAAAAAAAGAATCGACCGTTCGACTATTTCTGAAAATTTAAGACAAAGATGAAAAAAAGAAGAACATATATATGTTATGTAATATATAACCATATTGAATTGCAAATACAAAAATGATAGAATCTTTATTGATTAGACTAAATCAATATGGATGGAGCTCAAAAAAATAAAAGAAGATAACAAAGACATAAAATAAGTATCTATAATGTAATGAATCCCAAGGTTTCGGCATAAGAAAAAAAGGAAAGACATCATAATGAGATCCTAAAAAAGGGGATATGGCGGAATTGGTAGACGCTACGGACTTAATTGGATTGAGCCTTGGTATGGAAACCTACTAAGTGATAACTTTCAAATTCAGAGAAACCCTGGAATTAACAATGGGCAATCCTGAGCCAAATCCTGGTTTACGCGAATAAACCGGAGTTTACAAAGCGCGAAAAAAGGGATAGGTGCAGAGACTCAATGGAAGCTGTTCTAACAAATGGAGTTCACTACCTTGTGTTGATAAAGGAATCCTTCGATCGAAACTTCAAATCAAAAAGGATGAAGGAGAAAAACCTATATTGTATAAATTTAGGTAACACAAAACGATCTCAAAAATGACGACCTTAATCTCGATTTCTATTTTTTTATAAACAAAATCGAAATGTTGTGAATCAATTCGAAGTTTAAGAAATAATATTTATTGATCAAATGATTCACTTCATAGTCTGATAGATCCTTGATGGAACTTAATTAATCGGACGAGAATAAAGATAGAGTCCCATTTTACATGTCAATACTGACAACAATGAAATTTATAGTAAGATGAAAATCCGTTGACTTTTAAAATCGTGAGGGTTCAAGTCCCTCTATCCCCAGCTCTACTCCCCGAAAAGGTTGACACCTTACCTTTTTTTCGTTATTATTTATTTGAATTATTTAGAATCTATATCATTTTTCATTTTCAAACTTAGAAAGTCTTCTTTTATTTATAAAATCCAAGAAATTCCCGGTCCACAACTTTTTGAATTTACTACTTTTGAGTTTCTTTTCATTGACATAGACCTAAGTCATATATTAAAATGATACTGATACTTCAGTAGATGATACTTCGGTAATGGTAGACATAGCTTAATTGCGGGGGACTTAAAATCCTTGTGTCACCATTCGGAAAAGCAAGATGATACTTCGGTAATGGTCGGCATAGCTTTTTTGCGGGGGACTGAAAATCCTTGTGTCACCATTAGGAAATAGGAAAAGCAAGATGATACTTCAGTAGATGATACCTCAGTAATGGTGGACATAGCTTTTTTGCGGGGGACTGAAAATCCCTGTGTCACATCATAACGATCCTTCAGTAATGGTAGACATAGCTTAATTGCGGGGGACTGAAAATCCCTGTGTCATATGATAATGATCCTTCAGTAAAGGTAGACATAGCTTAGTTGCATAGGACTCGAAATCCTCGTTTCACCATTAGGAAAACGAGGATGATACTTCAGTAGATGATACCTCAGTAATGGTGGCCATAGCTTTTTTGCGGGGGACTGAAAATCCTTGTGCCACCATTCGTAAAACGAGGATGATCCTTCGCCGGGATAGCTCAGTTGGTAGAGCAGAGGACTGAAAATCCTCGTGTCACCAGTTCAAATCTGGTTCTTGGCATAGGATTTATTAATTTTGATAAGTTTCTATTCTTCAAATTAAACGTATCTTTAGTAAAAAAAGTGCAATTATCCCTTATCCCCTCTCTTTTTTTGTTCATGTTGTGGATCCAGCCGTTCAAAAAGAATGTATAATACTTGATACATAATACATATCCGAAAGGAAAGGTTAAATGAGTTCCGTTGAATCAAACAAGTAAAAAAAGGTCTATATGTATAGTATACTATAGTATCTATAGTTGAAGGGCAAAAATACCCCAAGATTCATTAGATACAATAGAAATAGAATTGTATCCCCCCCCCTTCATTTATTGCTTTCCGATCTTATTTATTCATTCCCAGTTATGTGACTAAAGTTGACTAAGTTATGTGCGCGATACAAAGTTCATAATGCAGAACTCTTTTGTTTAGTTCATCCTATTGGCTCGGCTTTTACGAAATAAAAAAAGTATCTTTCAATCAAGCTATCTCTAATAATATCAACGAGACCTCAACTGTTCTGTTTGTTTGATCTAAAAAAGAATCGAATTCCAAATATTCCGTGAAGGTCTGGAGTTCTAGAAGCTAAGGCTCATTTTTTATCATTCAATAAGCATCTTGTATTTCATAAAAATTGGGGGCAATATAATCCTTACGTAAAGGCCACCCTATCCAACTTTCGGGCATTAGGATCCGTTTCAGTCGTGGATGGCTATCATAAGTGATTCCTAACATATCATAAGATTCCCGTTCTTGAAATCCGTACTTTTCCAAACCCAGAAAACGGATGGAATTCTAGGATTACTCCTGTGAGTAAATACTTTTATGCAGACTTCTTCCGCTTGATTAACACCATATTCTATTCTCGTAAGATGATACACGCTGGCTAAGAGGCCACCTGGTGCCACATCATAGGCACATTGCGAACGTAAATAATTGTAACCATATACATATAAAATTACAGCAATAGAATGCCAATCTTCGGGCTTTATTTGTAAAGTCTCTATTCCTTGATAATCGAAGCCCAACGATCTATGAACCAGCCCGCGTTTGGCTAGCCAAACGGACAAAGTGCCCTGCATCTTTTTTATTTCCCCCACACCTTTTTTATATAAAATTAAGTTTTTCACATTTACCATGAGTTCTAATTTATGAAGATTTTTTTCTTATTCTCTAAAAGCCTCCCTAATTCACTAATTCGTGGGACGATACTGGACTTTTGTATTTAAAAAATTTTTCAGTAGAGATCTCTGAAGTAGATGATGGTGGATAGAGTAATTCTTGATCATAATTTCCAATATGCGGACTGCGTACAACAAAAAACTTGTGATTGGTAGTAAAACACCGATTACCCTGTTGAGGTCTAATTCGATCCTTATAGATTTCTCTAGCTATTTTCTTACGAAGCTTTGTTATAGCGTCTATAACAGCCTCTGGTTTAGGTGGACAACCCGGCAAATAGACATCTACAGGAATTAGCTTATCAACTCCTCGAACAGTACTATAAGAATCGGTACTGAACATCCCCCCCGTAATTGTACACGCTCCCATAGCAATAACATACTTTGGTTCAGGCATTTGTTCATATAATCGCACTAAAGAAGGAGCCATTTTCATTGTTACTGTACCTGCTGTTAAAATAAGGTCCGCCTGTCTAGGACTCGATCTTGGTACTAACCCATAACGATCAAAGTCAAATCGGGAGCCTATTAATGAGGCAAATTCAATGAAACAACAACTGGTACCATAAAGAAGCGGCCATAGGCTGGAAAGTCTTGACCAATTTGAAAGATCATTTAACGTAGTTGAAATAACGGAATTTTTTGTTGTTCGATCAAGTACGGGAAACTTAATGGAATTCATAATTGTTTCAATGGTTTTTTTTACTTTTTTTTTTTTTATTGTACAAGTATTCGGGAAACGAACTAAGACCACTCCAATGCTCCTTTTCGCCATGCATAAACTAAACCAAGAATTAGGATAAGCACGAAAATGAAAGCTTCTATAAAAGCAGATGCCCCCAGTACATCGAAACTCATTGCCCACGGATACAGAAAAACAGTTTCAACATCAAAAACAACAAAAACTAGAGCAAACATATAATAACGGATTCTAAATTGTAACCAAGCATCCCCGATCGGTTCTATACCTGATTCATAACTAGAAAGTTTCTCCGGCCCCTTCCTAATTGGAGATAAAACTCCGGAAATTAGAAATGCCAAAACAGGAATAGCACTTGATATTAGTAAAAATGCCCAGAAAATATCATATTCGTAAAGCAGAAACATAGACGAACTCCTATGAATGTGGAAAAAATACCCGCTTAGTCAATTCCAATCGGAGTGGATTGGGCAAGGGATATAGAACTCTTGAGTCAAAAAAAAATTCAGGTTAATCGAATCATTTATTTTCGTTTGGTTGCTGTGGTAGACGTCTCATTTTAAGATTTATTAATTTCGTATTTTCAGTACACTTATTACTTAATAGTTCCATGTTTCTATTACTAATAGTTTCTAATATTAATAATATAATATTAATCTGATTAATAACTAGTAATTTTTTTTTATTTCTGTTTATGTTTAAAAAAACATTTTCGAAAAATCTCTTCGTTTTTAAAATGATGACGTATCAAAAAATCCAGTAAGACTTTACCATACTCATCTTACTTAGTATTAGATAGATTTAATTTTGGTTGAATTTAATTAGATTTCTGTTTTTATTTTTAAACAAGGCCGTGTCATAAAAAAAGTAACCAAGATTGGGTGGGGATACAAAAAAAGAAAGTCTTAGGAACTTTTTGATTGTAGCTAGTGAACGAGGAAAATTCATATAAAAAAATTACAACTATGAAAATTAATGAAGAAAAAAGTTGATTCTAAATTAAAAAAATTAGAAAAAAGTATCTATCTAGATATATCGATAGATAGTGGTTGGCTCCATTGAAATAAAATTTAATTTTCCGTTTTATTCTGAACGATCCCCAGGACTTATGGTTTTTGGTATGAAAATTTTTTTTATGAACCGAGCAATTAAAAGTAACCTGTTATAAATAAAGAATACAATAAAAAGTAAAAAAAATTATCCAATTATTTGGATTTTAATGTGATTTATTAGAATGAATTTCTTAGTTAGGGCTATACGGACTCGAACCGTAGACCTGCTCGGTAAAAGAGTTCGAACTTATTATTATCAAAATGATTCGAACTCTTTCAAAGACCCAACATGCATTTTTTTTTGCATTGGGCTCTTTCATTAACTGATCTTTGGATCAGTTAGTCTACCATATTTTTTCTTAAAAAAAAGATAAGAAATGGTTCCAAGTACTCTGATTGATTATTTTTAAATTCTAATACAATACAGAAGAACTACCAAAGTGTTTCAAAAAAGGGTTCTCTTGACGTAGGTTTGCTTTTGGTCTAGATCAACTTAAGTTAAATATAGTCTCTAACATCCTGATTAAAAAATCAAACATGAAACTTGATACAC